TGCTGCCTCTGGATCATCTTCCTCATCCTCCTCCAGCTCGTCATCGTCGCCGCCCTCGGCGCCGCCTTCTACGTCTTCTACCGCCCCCACCGCCCTTCCTTCTCCGTTACCTCCCTCAAGCTCCAAACCTTAAACTTCACCACCAACTCCCACCTCACCTCCAGCTTCAACCTGAACATCACCGCTCGAAACCCTAACAAGAAACTCGTGTTCATCTACAACCCCATGGCCATCTCCATCTTCTCCAACGACGTCGACATCGGCGACGGAATCATACCTTCCTTTGTGCATGGGAAGAAGACCACGACGCTGTTGAAGGCAAAGATCGCGAGCAGCGGGAAAGAGCTTCAGAGCAGTGAAGTGAGTGCTTTGAAGGCTGACATTAAGAGCAAAAGTGGGCTGCCATTGAAGGTCAGGTTGGACACTAAAGTGAGAGTGAAGGTGCTTGGGCTGAAGACTCCAAGAATTGGAATTAGGGTTAAGTGTGAGGGGATTAGGGTAACTTCTCTTCCAACTGCTAAAGCTCCTGCCACTGCTTCTACTTCCAACGCTAAGTGTAAGGTTGACGTTAGAGTCAAGATCTGGAAATGGACCCTGTGAGGGGAAATTGAATTTGCAAAATTAAAGAAAGAAAAGGAAAAGAAAAAAAGGTGTGATATAATTTTTGTTTTGTTTTCTTTCTAAGATTTTGTATTATTTGTCTTATATTTTTGCGAATTTAATTTTGTGATTATTTTTTATTATGTTTTGTTAATGAAAGGGTGGTGGTTGATATTGTATATTGTGTTAGAAAGCAAGTTGTTAATTTGTTGTATTAAGAAATTGTTTGTGTATTAGCTAGGTATTATCTGTTTCAAGATGTATATTATCACAGTTTTCCATTTAGTCGTATTATGAACTGTACACGTGCAAACATGCAGTTTGGGAAAAAGGTCAAATACTCTTATAGATGCGAAAAGAAAAAGGAAATTGATGAGCCTAATAGTAGCGTGGATTTGTAACTAAATTGAGCATTAAAGTGATTAGTTGTTTGATTGAAACCTATCGAGTGTGGGGTGGTTTTGAGCTGTTCCTTGACTTTAGGCAGGTGAAGTCGGACAAAGCACACCCCTTATCATCGGGTTAGTAGAGTCCCCGACCACAAACGGTAGGTAGCAAACCACAAACTCATCAACTCCTTTTTCATATTTTTCAATCTCGCATTAGGCCAGGTCTTGATATTTGGATTCTTTCGTGGGTAAATTATATATTCAGAAAAATAACAGTAGTTTACAAAAATGAAATAAAAAGATGGAAACCAGTATGTTTTTTTTTCCTTCAGTTGTGGGTATTATTTTGCATTTTCATGTCAGTTATGCCAGGAAAAATAAGCAATTTAGTTCAGTTTGTATTTAAGTTTGTGTAATGTGTAAGTAAAAGTTTGATATTTGTGTCGGTGGGCGCGGCTTCAATAATTGAAGTTGAATTTTGAAGTTTGAACAGTGAGGAGTGGCCCCAAAAGTATTTTTTTAGTAAAAGGAAGTGCTTTGGCCTGCAGTGCACGTTGTGTTTGGAAACATGGAAAGCACTTCCTCTGCTAACAATGACAGAATAGCATGTGCTACGAATATGTCATGATTGTTTCATCATTCCTGGTTAGCAACTTAGCCCCGATAAATACTAGAAAAATTAATTAATGTAACAATTTCTTATTTATTATGAATGAATAAGGTCGAGAAAAAACGTAGAATGAAAATAAATGAATCATTGTCATATCAGTTGATATTCAAAAATTCATGTATCATTAGAAACTTAAATTGAGTCGAACTTTTACGCGTCTAGCTTAGTTATGTTTTTGTACAACATACCAAGTTGACTTGACAAATGCATTAATTGTTATCTTTGATTGTGATGTGCAAGAAGAAGCATTCTCGCCACTAATTATAAAGTGCTTTATCTTATCAAACTAAACTTAGCATACAAATGAGTATGACACATCATGCTGGAGATGAATATATATCTTACCCCGCACCATTTCCTTTTTTTTTTTTTTTCCCTGGTATGAAAGATGAAATTTCATAACTAGGCAAAAAGCCGAGAGAAATACAAGGTCCACAAAACAGTAAAGTATAATAATAACACTATTACAAGAAAGAGGACAACTAAAGAAGACGTAGTCATAGAGACGGCAAATCTTCACCTTGAGATGCCACTATTTCTCGTTTAATTTATGTGTGCAGCTTGCACTTCACTTTTGGCTGTTGCCAAGGGCACATCAGCTTTATTTATATGACGAGCCTATTCAAAATACAATGATCTTATAAGTAGTGAATGTTGATTATGGTGATACATCTAATAATTTTTGGTTGTGATGTGACTATAACATGTTTATATTTATCGATACTTTATAAACTCGTCACTTGTTCATAGTATAACACATAAATTGATAACACCAAAAGAAGACTTACTATCATACAATAATTTCTCTTGATGATGATACATTAACATGATGAAAAAAAAAATAACAGAAGACCATTGGTCATAAATCTCAAGAGGCCCAATATGCCTCAACAGGCTCATAAATCTTAATTGCAAGCCCAAACCCAAATTTACTCATTCTAAAAGGCTAAAACCCTACTAAAGCCCCTGACTTTCAAACCCAAAACACTGTTTTTCTTTGCAGACGCTCATCACTCTCATCAGTGTCTCTGTGAGTGCAATTCCGGCCATGTATCGAATAGCTTCAAAATTAGCGTCTTCCGTCGCTTCTTCTACTTCCAGGAAATTGGTAGCTACTAATTTTCCGTTCTTTTTTGCTCACATTTTCATTCATGGCATTTCATACTATTTTGCTTTACATTTCTTATTTCTTAAAACTCTTCTGGGAAAGTTTGCGGAAAAGGGAATGTTGCATTTTTAGTGTTCATGCTAATCTTTGGTTTCTGGGAAATGAAACATGAACTTAGTTTCGCACTGTCATATGATAAGAAGCTCAATATGACCACAAAGTTTGTAAATTTAGTTTGGTTTCATTTCCTGCATTTTCTTAAAAACCAAACGGAGCATATGGTTATATTTGAAGGATCATAATTTGATTGATTGATTAAGTTGGGTGATTTAATATGAAAGACTCCAAGTTTTCTGAAATTTCCTTATTGAATGTTTTTTGTTCATCAATGCATTGCTGACTGATGGTTATGAACTTTTTCTTTTGTTGGTTGTTGATGTGATTTGGAAAGGTATGTAGTAGGGTTATATGTAATAGGAATTATGTGGCAAAAGATATCAGTTTCGGGGTTGGGGCTCGCGCCGCTTTGTTGCAAGGTGTCTCTGAGGTGGCAGAGGCTGTCAAAGTTACAATGGGACCAAAGGTAATGGCTTAATATTCTTACAGGTTTGTTTGTTTGTATTTTTTTTTTTTTGGTCATACTTCATTAATATAATTTCCCGTTGAGCTCAGTGTGTAATGGACATTTCTTTACTAGTATAAATATAAGTTGCATGAACAAGGAACAGTACTGAGAACCAAATCTCGTGTAGCTGATGATTGAAGTGAATTCTTTGTAGTCCTAGATTTGATTTCTTACAGTGAAAGTGAAATGAAAAATCACTGAGGTTTTATCTTTTGTATCATGCTGGTTGATTGATTCAGGGTCGATATGTGATAATTGAGAACAGTCACAAGGATCCAAAGGTCACAAAGGATGGTGTTACTGTTGCGAAAAGCATTAGTTTCAAGGGAAAGTACAAGAATGTGGGTGCCGATCTTGTGAAGCAGGTTGCTAAAGCTACTAATACTGCTGCAGGAGACGGTACTTCTTTCTCAAATCTATCTCATAAACATAACTAAATTTGATGTTAAGGAATAGGCCGCCTGACTCAGGGACTTCACTTTAGTTGCACAATGGAAGCTCAAATGTCAAAATTGATCATGTAAATTAAAATATTAAAGTCTTTCTCGGAGAGGTGTTGATCATCTTATTCCAGGTACGACTTGTGCAACTGTCCTGACCCAAGCAATACTCACAGAAGGTTGCAAGTCAATAGCTGCTGGGGTAAATGCAATGGATTTGCGCATTGGTATTAATCTGGCAGTTGATGCTGTTGTTTCTGATCTGAAAAGCAGAGCATTGATGATAAGCACACCAGACGAGATTACACAGGTGATGTGACTTCTTGGAAAAAAAATGTTGAAATCCCAAACCATATTATACAGATCTTCCTATGAGGACAGGAAATAGATGGGAATGTACTTGAAAAAGGTCTTCAGGTTTTGGTAATTGATCAAATCTATTTCCTATAAGTTCAGTGAAAGTTGTGCTCTTTATCAGTCTCGTTAACTTTATCTTGTATGACGGGTCTTTCCATAGAAACACGAGAGCAGTGCAGCCTTTCGAAACATGCTGAGGGTATTATTATAGTTTCTCCATTGAAATACCAATTAAAGCTTAGGTGGATGGTTTGAAGTGTTTGTGCTCATGCATATTGTTGATTGCTCTGACTGGATTTTCATATGACAAATAAGTTGCACTACATGTCTGAATCATTATTTTATTGGACATTCCGGCTTGAATAATATTATGAAATAGGTTGCTACTATTTCTGCAAATGGTGAACGAGAGATTGGAGAGCTGATAGCAAGAGCAATGGAGAAAGTGGGGAAGGAAGGAGTCATTACTGTTGCCGTGAGCATCTTTTTATTTTTATTTTCTAAATTATTATGTTTGACAAACATGTGAGTTTTTTGTTATGGTTCCTCAAATTTTCGTATTTTTGTAGGATGGGAATACTTTGGATAATGAATTGGAAGTGGTGGAAGGGATGAAGCTAGGCAGAGGCTACATTTCTCCTTACTTTATCACTGACCAAAAGACTCAGAAGTGTGTAAGTTCAGATATTTGCTGTAAGCAGAAATGTGGATTAGTTCCTATTCCTAATTATGATACAACAATGTCAGCACTAAATATTTGCTAATGGATTATTGTGAACTTTTGCTTGTCTGTATATTCCTTAAAAGGCAAATTTACTTATTTAAAAAAAATAAAAATAAAAAATCTCTTAGCACCAGAGGGTCTGAAAATATCTCAACCTGGCCATATTTACCCTATTATTCACGGACTTAACTTTGGTCTTGGACTCTTGTGACGGTCCTGTTCATGTAGTTGCTTATGTATTCTCGTCTTTATTGAGTTGAAGGTTTATGCTTTATCTATCTTGTCATCAGTTTATATATCTGTGGTCATTTTGTGTTTGTTTCTGCCATAGTTTTGAGGCTACTCAATTATAAACTTTCGTAAAAAGTAACATGCTGTCTTTATTGTTTTTTCTTCTTTCCTTCGTGCTTGATCTTTATTTCACCAGTGTAATCTCTTAACTTATAATTTAATTTGACCTGCAATATGGAAGTTACAATTTTCATGTCTGCAGGAACTGGAAAACCCACTGATCCTCATTTATGAAAAGAAAATTTCGGACCTGAATTCACTTGTGAAAATACTAGAGCTGGCAGTAAACGTAAGTAGCATGTTTCTGATTGTTTACCTTTTATGTTCAACGATGAGTAAATAATCATTTGAAATATAGATAAGATATTCATCTCCTGTTCCTCTTTCCATCTAATTTTAAACAGAAACTTAGACCACTTCTTATTGTGGCTGAGGATGTCGAAGGTGATCCACTTGCTATGCTAATACTCAACAAACATCATGCTGGGGTTAAGGTGTGCTTTTGACTTACTGTGCAAGGTTCATCATGCATCAGATGATACAAGAAGTATTTGTCGTTTCATTTTCAATTTCAATTATATGAGTTGGTTGTGAAATACTAAACATTTTGATAGCTAAAATGTGTCTTCTAGAGACAGCATGGTGTTGGTAGATATGTCTTTATCTGAGAACATGTATAAGAAGACATTTATATATCTACATATCTCTTTTGAGAACATGCATCTCT